TGATTATTGATAAATTGTCTCAGATATATATATATATATGTACATATTTTACGGTCTTTATGCAAATAAGCATTTAAACTTGTAAAAATTTAATACTTATTTTAAACTGCAACACTTTTACGAAAACCATATATAAATAAGCAGATTTGTCTGATTGTATGCTGTTTTTCGTTTTATTAGGCTAAATTTTTTTTACACACAATTTACAGAATCACCTGTCGATTGTAATAAAACTGAGAAAGAAAATATTTTACACATTATTCAGTGCATTAAGTGATAACAAAATTGTTAAGTAACAGACTTATACGAATTTCATTTATAGCATAAATAAACGACACATTTTTAATTCTATGAGGTTGATTAATTGATTAAGTGCAAACTTTTTTCACATAGAGTGTAAACAGTATTTTATCTCATTTGAAGGTGAAGTATACTTCTTACATATATTAAAAAAAAAAGAATACATTTACAATTTCAAACGTCTTATTTTTTAACCATTTCAAACAAAGCTCCTAATAAATTGACTCTACAATCCGATAACTAAGTAATCTCTATTAATCATGTGTACAAATCCATGAGAATTCTTATAGAAGACACAATAATTAATCCAATTTATTTTTTTTTCCTTACTTCCTGCTTCTAATTAACATTTTTGTACATCTAGTTTGACAGTCGTCGCACATTCTATTTTCTTGTTACTGAAAGCTAAGCGTGATTCATAAATTTGTAACAATAAACAATGTTAATTCAGTTTCCTGCTGTGCAATAAAACATTTACTATTAAATTCTTCATATCATACAGTAATAAGGTATCATAGATACTATGGAGACTTTTTTTTTTGTTACATTAATTTCACAAAAAAATTTTTTAAATTTCAGAAATACATATGTGAATCTTACAAGAAAGCTGTATAAATAAATTAGAAAACATTATTAACATATTTTATATATACCTATGTGTGTTTATTAATGGTAAATTTCACAGTAAGTCTTTAAAAACTAATTTGACATTTTGTAGCTCTATCTTAATCCAGTTTGATTTAATTTAATTTATTGTAAATGAAAATTAATTAACCACTATTGCTTTAATAACTTCTCCACATTAATGTCACGTTCTATAAATGGATAGTCCTTTCTAAATTGTTACAGAAATATCATTACTTCAGTATAATTGAAGTTTCAGTAAAAATACTACACTTATTATGTCATTTTACAGTGGAAATCTCGAAAAATAAATTTTTTGCATTAAACTATGGTTTATTTATAAAAAAAGAAGTGACTCTTGTATTCTCAATATTTATCCTTTACATTTACAGCATACTTCTCATTAGAAATCTCATCTGAAACCATGATTAACATTCTCTTAGAGGTACATTTTATAAACAAACTTACAATCAATCTCAAAGAGTGACTAGACAGTCTGAAATTCTTATATTTTATAAGCACACTCAGGTGAAGACTTATATAAATAACTTTTTTCATTCCTAATCTAACTTAAGAAACTACGTGAAAACGATGTTTCGATAAATGATTGCCATTTCTTGCAGAATGCTAGAGTACATATTTAGTGGATGGTCAAAAAGTTACATAAAAAACCCGTAGCTTTTCCCAATTTTCTATCATAGACAGAAATAAAAATAAATAGAGATAGAAAAAAAGAAAGAAGGCAAGACGGGGCTTCTACCCCTGATTCACAAAACATGTAGGTTCTCACAGCTTTTACTCTTGTTGTCATTTAGGCATATCTTACTGAGGATATCACGCGCCAGATTGAGACTAAGAGCGGTCTTGCTGTCATGTAGCTTCGAGAGCACCTTGAACTTGCTACCCCGTCGGCGGAGCTTGCGGTCGCGCGACTCACGTAACCTTATCTGCTTAAGCACACCAACGAGAAGCTCGTCAACATTATGCTTGATGCCACTTGATGACTCAATGAACTTGCACTCCCGTGATGTTGCCAGCTGCTTGCCCTCTACAGTGAAAAATATTTATAAGATAAAATATGCTAATCAAAAATAACCAGTCATAAAGATACATAGACCTTAGGGTATCTTTGAATCCAATTGATTCTTAATATTTTTTAAGATATTTTTTGAAACTGATATTTCAGAGCTTAAATGAGGCTTATCTACTTTAAAAATAGGTTTAAAAAAATTTAATACTTCACTAGTTAGCGTGTCATACAAGTTTCGAAGAGGGATATTATAAGTGTTTCCAAAATTTTTTCAAATAAGTATTAATGCCACGGATTGTTTGCATTATTATACGTATATTTTTGACTTAAGGTTTTAACAATTATACTTTATTGTTTACTATTATGATTTATTAAATTTCCTTGAGTGCCTTACTTTGTAGTTCAATCATAAGCATACATAATGATGCCAGACGAACATAAATATTTTGTTCGAGTCAACTGATAAATTATTATGTACTATTGTTAAAAAATTTAAACAGAAAATAGGAAAAAACAATACAAAAAGTATAAGGCTCATAAAACATAAACGGCTCACCATTTGTGGTAATGGCACGACTTCTAGCAAGGTCAGACTTGTTGCCAACAAGAATAACAGAACGCTCTTGAGTATAGTGCTCGCGCCAAAGGTAGTTGAGCATTTCCTCAGCCATTTGGAAGCTGGCACGAGATACTATCGAGTAGACGATGATGCAAGCATGGGGTTCGTAAGTTGACAAAGAGTTCTCCAACTGATTGAACAATAGTAACCTTATTTTAGTATTAAGATAGGGATTTTTGAGAATTCTTTAATTTTATTATAAAAATATCATTAGTAATAAATCGCTGTATATCAAATACATTACTCTCTAAAGTTCGAATCAATATTGACTTATTCGGCTCAACTAGCTTTAGAGAGTATTGTTATTCTTGTTATCTTAAACAATAGCTAGAATTCATGTCAGCTTGACGAAATTGTTCTGATTTTTGGTAATATATTTTAAATATTTAGGTTTTATTCTAAACATAAGATGGATGGTTTAAACAGTGTCTCTACAGAGTGATAGACTTTTTACAGAGCTTAAGATGTCACTAAATATTATACAGCTGATTATTGATAAATTGTCTCAGTATAAAATGAGAATCAGAGTTGATAACTGAGTATTTAGCAGAAAAAAAAAGATACATTAACATAGGAATTAGGTATGGAGCCCATATCATTCACAACGCCATAAAATCAGCTGCAGATGGGTTATGTATAAACTTTGAATGTATAATTGTAAAAATTTATTCATTTTTTTACATTTACACAGTTCGTGAAGAAGCACTGAAGGAGTTTTGCTGTAAAACAGACATTAAATAACAAAAAATTCTTGGTTATAGCAAGTCCAGATAGCTTGACTTTATGCATGCCTTGAAAAGAATTTTAAAATGTATGAGCCACTGAAAAACAATTTTTTTAGCATTCAAAAGTGACTGAAAATATTAAAAACATTTTTTCAAGATCCCAGCTCAAAACTGTAACTGTATTTTTTTCTATCAGTTAGACTAAATAACAAAGTACTCATTTTCTATTATACTAAGTTCATACTTTGCCAAAAAAGGATGGTATTGGTATTGACGAAGGATCAGTCAAAATTTTAGCCATGAAGTTTTACAGAATGAGCTGTGAATATTTAAGCGAATGGACTGCATCTTAAGAAGAATTAGATACCTTTAGTAAGGCAAGTTTAAAAAAAGTACTCACATGGGAAGACATCCAAAAGTCAATACATGTATTGACTGAAAAAGAATACAACAATAGTAGTCAGAGTCTAGTATGATTCGATGAATTGACATTACTATCTAACTACGTAACATCCCAAGAAGTAAACAATTGGAATGAAATAAATGTTTCGACGAAATGTAGTTAATTAAAATTACATACACACTTCGACACTCACCATCTGAGTCATGGAAACTTTAGAATTTCAATTAAATGTATTATGTGTCTGTCTAGAAGAAATGCAGGCTTTAAATGCCAACAATCACATTTATTTAAGGCAGTCCATACGAGAAAGAAAATTTTTAAAAGTTTCAATGAAAAATGTATCCAAGCATGGCCTACGTAAGCTTTCCACACCATGTCACTGATGTTCCAAGGCCCATTTACGGCCACGCATCTCAGAAATCCTCCACTGAAAAATTGTCGATTCACTATAATATCACGTAAATGTATCTGCAAGTACACATTAACAATCCCATTAGTTACGAAATTTTAACTCATATCAACACTTCTGACTTGTACCGCAATTAATGCAGGTATAGTTTTTAATATTTTTTTTTTTCCATACACAATTTACATTTAACTTTTTTTGAAAATTCAGTGCCTGCATTTTATATGTTAAAGAAGCTTTTAATGTGAATAGTTACGCACCTGGTCGAGGCTATCTGAACGAGTGGAAATGTTTTGATGACACTCAAGGTATATTTTGATATCATCTATTGGTTCATGTAGGAAATATGAAAAAAATTGTAGTTATTAAAGAAATTTTAGAGTATTCTATTGCAGTTTTCATAGAAATGTTGTAAGCTTTTGTAATTGTAGGTAACGCTTATTGGTAAAACAAGTTAGCTATCTACGTCTACCTCTCCTACTCTGTTTTCGTTCGTAGTCTTAACACCAATTACCGCCTACAATGGATCATGTCTGTGTGACAAACAAGAATACTTCGTTTTACTTGCCAGTCAAGAATCACTTAATCAATGTATCCACCCCAAAAGCTTACTTTCCTGACGTTACAGAATTAACCTACGAGACTGGTGGCGTTAAGTATGGTATTGGTAAAATTGGTGACAATTTTGAGATACCTGCAGGAATAAAAGCTTTTGACATTGTTTGCAACAGTGAAAACTCAACGAGTAAGTAATGTATGTTTAACGAAATATCGACTGAAGACTAATCAACTTAATGCCTTCAAGCTATAACTACTTAGTTCTTAAAAAAAATTATTTTTATTGTTACACTAATAAATGGCTCACGATGTGTAAGACTAACTTTTTTAATTACAGCATGTATACATAAAAATTGTAGTTTCTCTCGAAATACTCTACACAAGTACATACTGGCATATAAATGCAATTTATGGTTGACACTCGGTTCGGGCTAACAAGAAATTGCACACTGTAATTTATTACTTAATTATTTTTCAATTATTTATTTGTTCTACAGCACCGAGCAAAAGGAAGTATGAACTACAGATTTTAAACGTCATCAAGAAACACATGCTTAAAAAAAATGCTGAAGTGGCGAAGAAAGTGGTAAAAATTTTAACATTAGTTTTCCGTTACGGTTGCGCCATATGAAATACTATTTTTTTTTTTTTTTTTTTTTTTTTTCAAAAAATAAATGGATTTCTATGTATTGCAGGATGCACCTCAAGTAAGAGATTTTTTTGGGCTGGAAGTATGAAGGCGTTAATAATGCCAAATATCGACTTTTGCCAAATACAGGGACGAACGAAATTAAATTGAAAGTTGATAAACACTACGACTACGAAGGGATTTTACGTATGTGTATCGAGGCACTTCTAAACAAAGACAACCGTGGGTATTGTGATGGATGCAGCAAATGTCTTGGAAGTTTTAAAGAATATGTTTTTTATGATTTTACGGATGCAGTAGGTGCTAGTTGTGTTTTTTTGGCGTTCTCCAACAAAATCAAGGCTTCTAATGGTCTACTAAGATTATATTTGTTTACATAAAAAAAAGGCTAAACCAGATCTATTAAGATCTCTGAAAAATTGTATAGAAAAAAAAAAAGATATTCAGCCACCAAATAATTTGCATGTTTGTTTAAATTTAGGAAAAGAAGCTGTACAAGCAGTCACCCAAAAATTTTGGTTGGATGTACGTATTAGTACTCATGGAATCAAAAAGACAAACACGACAATTTCTAGCTCCTCAATCGGCGAAGGCGCATTCGGCAGCGTGTTCAAGGCCACTTGGAATCATACCGAAGTAGCTGTAAAAATCGTCAGAAAAAATCTCAAAGAAAAACATTTTAGAAGTAAAAGAGAAGTTATGATAATGGATCGTATTAAACATCCTAACATTATTCCATTGTTAGCTGATTACGGAGACACTACTCATTGTTTTCTTGTGATGGAGTTGTTTGGTTATTGTAACTTAAGAGATTTCTTTTATAAAGAAACGTTTCCTACTATTTTAGAAATTAATAAAGTTAGAATTTGTATGAAATTGTGCTCGGGTATATCATATTTACATAAGTCAAATTTGACTCTATTACACAAAGATGTAAAGCCCGAAAACATACTAGTCAACAAAGAATTTTTAATAAATCCGGACGATATGGGTGTGAGCCAGATAGAAAATATGCCTGAAGACTTGTTAACGACAGCTGATAGGCGCCCTCGAAGGACACTGTATCATACATGTGTCCGGAAATGTTATTGAATTATAAAATTGCCACAATTCACTCTGATATCTATGCTGTAGGCAGCGAAATAGTAGAAGTTTTCAGTGGAGAACAGATCTGGCCTGACGCGGACGTAGAAGCACTGGAAATGATATACAAAAAAAAATTAGAGCCAAGTATGATAGCAGTTCCTTTAAGGATTGCAGCAATTGCACGCAAGTATTTTGATAACAAGCCTAGTAAAAGAATCAGTTGTAGTGATGTGTACAAAAAGTTAAGAAGTTATTGTACGTACTTGCAAAATAATTCTGACGATTAATTTTTTTTTTTTTTAATTAATTATTTACTCTATTGTAATAAACATTGTTTTTTGAACATTTATACAATTAATGAACATTTATTTTTAAGCTGTAGTAAAAGCACCAGTTTCTGACAACGTTTACATTTTCTTATCCTATAATATAAAAAAAGGAAAAACATTTTTTTTCTATCCTGCATTTGCCAGTTTCAACTTTTGTTTGTAGATACACTGAGTTTGTAGATACAATCTGTACCATGTAACTTTACAAAAGAAACCATTCAATACGCATATCAGAAATGAGTAGCTTCAAGGTATCGTAAATACCTAATTAATATCCACGAGAATATATACAAAATATTAAAAGAGAGATAAAAGTTATTTTGCGAGAATAAACCAAAATATCAAAACTATGCATTGAGAGTTACTTAAAAAATTTTTAATGATACAAAACCCTTTTTTCGCGCATGTGACGATTCTTGTACAACATAAATTGTGCACAGGTATTTTGACGATAGTTCCTGTGTATGATATTAAGGTTAAGTACAATACATAATAATTTAAAGTAGTTTTTAATTTTTTTAGTTTTTCATTAGTTCTAAAAAAATTTATTATCGGTTGCATGAATAATAATCTTAAGTTTTTTTTTTTATATTTCATAAGAAAGATTATTTGTGATTAAGTAGTACATAAAAGTTTGAAATATTGTGTTCAAAGCTGTAATGAACAAGAATTTTAATTTGCTGACGTATTCAATTTTGTGTATGATTCAATAATTTAAGTATTTGAAAATTTTGTTTTTCACTTAGTAGGAAACGTTGTTCTAAAAGTCAGTTACAACTGCTGTATCGATTGCATGTACTTAAATATTTATAATATAATAATATAACAAAGTATGTAAAACTTAAATTATTGTAGAGTACATTGTATATGACTGTTCATATTATTGTGAAAAGTAAATATGATAATTTTAGAATAAAGACTAAAAATGAAAAATGGTTTGACAATATATTTTATTTCGCGCGTAAGAAGGAGAC